GATATCAGGGACGGGGAGGGCGGAGGGATCAGCCTGTTGAATGGACCTCTTTGTAACCCGTCATGGGACTTGAAAATGGCTAAAAAGATAATTCTCTCTTCCCCAACATGATCTGTGAGGAGGCCCTGGTTTGTAAGACCAGTGAAAGAGAACTTAAGATCCAGATTCAGTAACTAATATTCTTTGAGATTCAGGATTAAATACCTGTGTTCTTTAACACTTACATTTTATATCTGTTCCATATCATCTGGTGTTAACCTGTTGGGAGGCTGTTAATCTCCTAGCTGTTCCCCAGAACTAAGGCTTTAGAAAGTAAACCATGAATATGATGATTAACCGACAGCTGCCTTCTCTTCTCTGCTGACAGGAGAAGAGGTTACCGTTTTAGGTTTGAAGTCTCTATTCAGGCCTCCCGTCCATCAATGGGTTTTTTTTTTTTTCATCTTGCTGTTTCTCACAAAACTTTCAACAGTTTACTATGTGTCAGAGTTATAATACTTCTATAAAAGGGAAAATCCACCCAGCCATCATATGGACGAGGTCTGCAGTCTGTCCCCAGAGGTTGGACTTCTGGAGTTTTTTTTTATTTTTTATGAACCTCATACAAGCAACAACCTCCCAGAGGAGGGGAGATCTGCTGCACTTCTTTTGAAGATTTAAAACTTTCCCTTTTTTTTTTTTTTTTGCTGCACTGGACAAACTATCCTAAATCTTTTTATAATCCTACAGAGAAAAAAAACTCCCCATGCAGCACATGGAGGCATCATTACTGTAGAGGCGCATAATCTGAGGTTGCTGGGCATTGGGGGTGAGTCACAGTAAACTTAAGAAACTATCAGGACGCCTAAATCTCCATCTGTTGGCCACGTTAAACCCCTGCCAAGGCGATGTAAACCCGTCCGCCCACATCGCCAAACCCACACACTCCACCACGTCTCTGAGCTTTGCTGTTTCGGGCGAAACTGATAATAAGAACCTTTTTTATTCATTTGAGCTTGATGACGGCGCATCTTATAAAGAACAGACACTAATCCCACCGAAGCCAGGATTTCCTGACTGGTCAGCATGCACGTGAAGGCACCGGAGCAGTGACAGTCTGAAGGTGTCACGGCTGAGCCGATTATTCTCCCCACACAGCATATGTTGGACATCAAGGTGAAGCCACCATCCTCAGCTGTTTGTCACATAAAGCTGGATGTTCCCAGAGACGTGGTGAGAGGGAGGTGGGGGTGAAGAGGGGGGGGGGGGACTGGGCCTAATGAGCAGCAACAAACTGGGATGTTAGACCGACAACTAAAAATAGCCCGGGACTGACAAGGATGTCCACGCGCTCGTCGGGACGCATAGTGAGAGGGAAGGGGCATTCAGGCGCTTAGTGGAGAGCTGGTAATGATAATGCCATTCATGGTGGAGTCCCACAGCCCCGCAGGGCCCGGAGAGGGCCGGAGGCTTTGTGTCGTTTACACGAGACGTGCCGTCACCTCGCATTCACGGCTCCCGTCTGAGGCCGGCCAGGCCACGGGGAGACCGGTGCTGGTCAGCTGCTGGGGAGTGTCCACACCCAGAGGTCTTTCAGAGCCCAGGCACGCTGTGGATGCCTTACAGGTGGGAATTAAGGAGACAGATGTCCACTACCAGCTATCATTTATAACAAAAGGGCGGGGGGACACTGAGGTACGACTGGCATGATAATAGGACAACTCAGGATGAGAAGAGCTGACTTTGTTTTTCTGCTTTGGGCCAGATCTTTACCAAATGGTGAAAATAGAGGGGACTACAGAAATAAAAGACAAAGAAAGAAGCTCCGCTGTTAACCGCTCCCAGAAGACAGCTCTGGACCAACACGTTCGTCATCAACCAACGTGCCACTTGTCCTTTTCACCACTAAGCCCAAGCTGACAAACGCGAGAGACTGAGAGCATCCACTACCGGCCGGGCTGCTCATTCAGACTGCCGTCGCAGTCACAGCCGGGCCATTGTCCCGGGACCGAACAATGCCTGCAACTAAATAAAACAAGTGCTTCATACCAGAGTCTGGAGAGTTGGAGAGGGGAAACCGACCAAAAACAACCCTCCCTCCCTTAAAATAAACCGGCTCATGCAACGAGCCCTTTTGTCGTGTTTAGGATTGTGAGAGTGTGGGTGGGGAGAGATTTGTGGGCCATTCCACGCATGCCTTCCTGCACTGCAACCAATCTCACTGACCACTGCCTGTGCAGCCCGCCAGCTGTTTCGGTCCCATTTACTCCACCTAAACACGCACCTCAGCCGGAGAACACCACACTCACACACATAACCGACCAGAGCGCCACGCTTTCTTTATAAATGATTCCACTTCTCTTGAAAAGGAGTCAAGGATCTTGAACGCTGAATTGCAGAGGCAGTCTAGTTACACCATAACTCCAACTCAACTCAGTGATCGTTGCACAACCAAATATGTGCAAGATTGGTTTTTTTTCTGTGTGTGTGTGTGTGGGGGGGGGGGGGTTGCCCTGAGGTGTTCTTTCAACTTTTTAAGTAAGGAGAGGAGCAACATGAGCTGATGTTGAAGTGTCTGGTTAGGCACCTGGAAGTGACCTCAGGTTAACAAACAGGTGTGGGCAGCTAAACTGTGATCAACAGAGATGAGCCCAGCGTACCTTTGGTAGCTCCTTGAGTTGGTTGGAGTCCAGGAGAAGTTCCTCCAGGCTGCGGCTGTAGCGGAAGATCTCGTCGGGGACCGTCTGCAGGTTGCAGTGCCGCTTGTCGACCGACTCGACGTGGCGGTTGCATCGCCACAGCGGGATACACTTCAGCATGTCCG